AGTATCTATTTGGCTTGATCAAGAAAGCATTCAAGCGGCAGGCAGTACGCCGAAGGGTCCAAGCAAAGCCAAGCTGTACTCATTGCAAATGTACTTAAGCAGTTCCAAGATTTCGACATGACGAATATTTTTGAGCACTGTGGAAGGAGTCTGACCGGCGAGTTTGACCCGACCTCGGCCCTGGGGGATGAGTACGTGAGCATATCGCGAGCTGGGCAATTTGGCGTGGCCGAATTGCTGGAGTTCTCCGAGCGCGGAGATCCTGATGATGACAATACGTGCTCAAGTGATGACTTCTAAGTTAGTGTCCTGGGAGATGCGTGCTTATTTGGGGTTTGAGTTTAGTGGTACTTGAAAGCAAGAGTCACGCATGGTCGATGTCCTCCTGATTTGGAATGGCGGCTAACACGGACGAGACCTCCGTACTATCTGGTTGTATAACCACGTCCTCACCCATGGCCTCGATAACATCCAAATGGTTCTCCAGCATTTGGTTCATGGAAACGATGGCAGTCTGCAGCACTTGAACTGTTTGCTCGAAGTGCTGAATCTTTGTCTGCATGCCCTGTACGACTTTCTTTGCCATCTTTACGCTGCGCTGCACATGCTGTAATTGCTGTTCGCTTGGATTTGACGCAGGCCTGAACTGCGTCACTAGATTTGGTGGCGGGCCCTTGTAATTTCTCGCTCGTGCTGAGGCCTGGGTTTCTTGAGAACGAGTGCGGCCCACAGGCGCCACGGCATATCTTGTGCACTAAACGTAGCACCCCATTTCTCCTTCAGAGTAGTGATCATGCGTTGATGGAGCTCTTCTGTTGCAGCACCCCCACGATCGGTAGCAGCCGGACCGATGCACTGATCTTCAAAGTCTGCAAACTGGCCAACGGTGGATATCTCATTACCCTACCTGTAAACAGAGAGAATGGCGGGTTCCTCCTTGTGTTTCCGCAAATATTCACGATCTTTAGCACTTGTCCACGGGTTCAGCACCTTGCCGTTCATCTTCAAAGAAGTGTACTTCTCAAACATCACAATTGCTGGTTCATGCTCATCAACCGTCCAAACTGGAGGTGCCCCAGTCGGAATAGCTAGTGGCTTTAACTCGCGCTGGATGATGCCCCAAAGCATGTTTTTCACCTCATCCCATGTGTCACTTTGAACCGCGTGTGTGCCCATCCGCAATCCCGATGTCAGACGCTGGTTGACAGTGTTCTTCAACCGTACATCGACTGAGAGCTTGATCAACGGATCGTGCGAAGAAAGCGTCTCACGCTGCTGCTCAGGACGCGGGCTTCGCCTCTGGTAGGGTGAGGAACCCATCTCACGCTGATGTTGAAGATGGGGGCTTCGCCTCTGGTACGACGAGGACGCCACCTCTTGCTGTTGTTGAAGACACGGACTACGCCTCTGGTACGGTGAGGGGCGTGGACTCGGACCTAGAGCTACTCGCTCATGACTGGGATTGCTGTCGTCGAGCGATACCCGTCGAGGAGAGCTGCGCCGGACCGGGGTTGTCAGGCTCATTGCCGAAGAAATACAAAGTGATGCAGGTAAACTCTGATTGATTAATAATGACAGCAAATCGATTCGAATAACGCCATTTTTTCCTCCTGGTTCTACAAATTATAGCGGAAACGACAATAGCTTTTTATTTTTACAGATACACATTTTTAAAAATAAAATAAAATCAAAGTAAATTGCTTTCTTAAGTATACAGTATTTACTTTCACTAAGTATTTATTTATCATCTGTTGTCCTTGTTTTTTACTTCGAAGTAATTATTTCCCCCAACTGCGCTTCGGATTGTCGCGACTGCTTCTGCGACGGCCACTGGTACATCACTCCAGCAGAAGCTTTTAGCCCTCGTCTATTTTCGCCCAGGTTTCTCAGGATGTGCTAGCATCCCCATTGGTGAGGGCTAATCTGGAAAAGCAGCTTCCGATGCTATCAAATGTTGTCGTCCCTAATGAGCCGTTCTTCACTAATAAGTTGTTCGTTCTCGATTGGCACGTATACTCAGATCTGTGCATCAGCTGCGGGGTCATACTAAAATCTCTCGGCTTGGAAAGCCTTCGGTCGGACGGGTCAAAAACCATAACGCGTACGGGTGCTTTCGGTCGAGATACTGATGCCGTGGGCTGCTTTACTCTGTGAGCTGTTAGCTGAGAGCATACCGCTGCAGAACCCAGCACTTCGTTGGAATGCGATTTACGGAGCTTGGTGTCGTCTGTGAATTGCAGTTGCTCCGGGCTCATTATTCCAAGTTCGCATGTCAACACCAGGGCTAACCTACAAAAAATGCCTGGAATTACTATCGGAACCGCTTGGAGCAACCTCGACGACGATACTGATTGCCAGTCTTTGGGTCTTTCCTGTTCCTTTTTGTATCGTCGTTACTGGATGCCTGGCGGTGACTTTGCTTGTGATATTTTTCGTGGCAGCATTAATGAAGAGATCCGTAAGCAATACCTGTACACAGATTAAGGACCCACCACTCAGGCAAAAGATATACCTCATTGTCGCCCAAGTCGCATTAGTTTACCTACATGGTCTACAATATTACATGTATCTTCATCGTGATAATTGCAGCTCGTGAACTTCACGAGGCGCAATTTTCACCAACCACTTGGCTTACTCATGCTACTTCCAATAATGAAAAAATAAATCTGTCTCAAGCATATGATTGCTCGACTCGCTTCGGCCGGCGAAGAGTCAATTCCTGCTGTTGTGGTCTTCTCCGTTGACGTGTTCAGCGATCTTTACACTTCGAATTGTATGCAGTCATCGAGTACATGGTGGGCTTCGTTTTTGATGATCGCCTTGAATGCTGGGTACACAGTCCTATCGATCCTGGAGGTTAACCGCGCAGCAGTAAATTAGATCGAAAAGCGGCGTTTTATCGCGACAAAAGCTAGTTTCTTATAACATAGCTCCAATACGCGATCTCAGTAGAGCTACTAGCGGTTCTTCGAGCTTACATAAGAGTACTTAACTGCTGGAATGCCACATCTCTGGCAAAAAGCTCAAAGCGACTGCATCATACTCAAGCAAGATGACTACTACGAAGAGCAAAATTGCACTATCATCATCGTTCATGTTCTACCTGGAGTATCGAGCACTCGTTGGATACATTGAAGGCATCAATCGTTCCATTAATGTATGCTCGTATATCGTCAATCTTCCCAGTGCCAAGTACTATCCTCACACGCGAAATCTTTCCTCCGAACAACTAAAGACAGCGGTTGGGAGCATCGTGGCCTATGCATTCGATGGGAATCCCGTCCCTAATTTAACTTCATGTCGTCGTGAAGCGCAAGGTTGGTTATACCAGCTCGCGTTTGCCCTGAAAACAGAGGCCGAGTTGTTACAAGGCCGACTCTTTGTGTGGATAATTATTCTGTTGCAGCTTCCGTTGGTGCACTTTGGTACTGAGTGCCAGCGGAGAATAATGCTACTGTGAAGGTGCGGATTTGGGGTTTGACTTTAATTGGATAAACACGAACACAGGGTAGACTTCTGAAGGAAACGCATCGGAACAATCCGATGGTTTATACGAACATTAAACAATGAATAAGAAAAGGCACGAAACACAATAGCTCGTAGCATGAACAGATGTGTCTCGATGCGACTTTCGTAGTTGGTTTCGATGCGGCTGCTTCGTTTCGCTGTCCCCTATTTGAAAGCTGCTCTGGTTTTGCTCGGCACTGTCATCCCAAATAATAACGCTAGCTTTGCAAGTATTAGTACATTCGTTGTATATTTCGAATCTTGGAATTGCAATTAAGAGAGCCTTCTCCTTTCTATATTTCGTGTCCCGAGCTGAATAACTGTCGCTACTAACGAGTCGTTTCTCCAGGCTGATTCCATTTCGCCTTTGACAACTAGAGACTTCAATACTCGACAAATGCATCGTTACAGCCGAACCTACACGCCATTCTGGATCTTACACATAGAGCAACACGCCTAGCTTTTTCGGTTAAAATTTTGGACTCTCGTGCGTGGGAATGACCAAGCTCGACTAGCCGTACGTAGCGGATTGAGTCAAACATCCTGACAGTCATGTCGTCGCCTCGGTGGCATATTGTCGTCAAGTAGCGCACAATAACAAGCAAAACACGAAGCGAGCTAGTGTACACGAGTTGACTCGAACGTTAGCCAGGCCACCGATGGAAAATCCACCCGGCACATCTAGCAGGCGATCTTTTATTATGAGCGGCGTGAGCGCAGCTCTTGCAACATGGTAGCCATGGCTTGGTCCACGCTCACAACCTACGCGTCGAAGATCGTCGCCCGGATTTTTTTTCGTAGTGCAATTGAGGCTGTGGCCACCACCAAATCGGTGGCACCGATATCCCCCGTTGCTGCAGAGAAATGGTTGACTCAAGTACAACGCGGCGACGTATTACATGTATTAGTTGCATCAGAGGTGGTCTGGATTGACCTGCACCGCTAATTCCCACTCCTGAACACTGGTAACCCATTGAGTTATTGGCCCCATCGCCGATCGTCCAGCTAGGAAAGAGCATTGCATTCGTTATTAATTCTTAATAGTGGGCGCTCAAGTATTATAATAAATGCACGCAGGTGCGAGGCGTGGATTTCGAAGCACCCGCTCACTCGCAGAACACGATGTCGTGCACTTTTGCCACGCTGCAACGTAAAGGGACACGATCGGACGACATTTGTTAGGGGTCGGACCGTGAGGTGATGGGGTGAAGCATACTTTATTCAGGTCAAATGTTTTGAACCGACGATACCCCGACTGCCTTCACAATTGTCACTTTATAATCGCACGGCGAGCTGGAGGAAGAAACTGCCGCTGCTGTCCGCACTTCCACGTGTCCGTGTACCTACTGGAACGAAGCAACGTGGACCTTAACAGAATCTCCGCGACCTGCTGCTTCGTATCGTGCAGCTCTCACCTCCATCCGCGCTGTGCCAGCAAGCGCAAAAGACGAAATAGCGACAACGCTTCCCCCTTATCTAGCCCGATCTGCAGTATGGACCGCTTCCGCCTCGACTTCGACGGCGTGGACCAGGATGGCGTGGACACCGTGGAGCCCATGCGCCCTAGTTCCTTCGACATGACCTTCTCGCTTGGCAGCTACCCGAGCGCACAAGGTCTGAGCCGGGACAGCGACCAGGAGCACAGCAGCTACCAGGATAATAGTAATGTTACAGACAGCAGGAGGGCTCCCAACCGGGGTGAGAAGGGTAGACTACATGTGGACGAGCTGCGAGAAAGCTCTCGGTCGCAGAAACTCGACGGTAGCGGCCTGGGGTCCTCGGGTCATAAGAGACAGACCACAGCCAGCTCCCCGGCGTCTTCATCCACGCAAAAGGACGTGGCTAACATCGCGTTAAGACTGGAAGAGAAGGCACACGAGGCCATCGATGTGGCCAGTTTGTGCGGCAAAGTGTCGTGGAAACTGGCCAAACGCACACAGGACGTGCACGTCTACAGACCGGCGACACTGCCGTCCGAGGAAGATTCGTCCACGAAGCTTTACTTTCGCGTCTCGTGCGAAGTGAAGGCGCATCTCGGGACAATTATGGAGTATCTTACACCAAGCAACTCACGGAGTTATTTCGACATTGAGTCACAAGTGTTCCCTGGTCTGCTACACGCCGCCGTGATCAAACGTATGGAGCTACCGGAACGCGCGCCGGCGTCCATGGCGAACTCCGGACAGACGCTGCTGTTCCCGTCTGGCGCTTCGGCTACTACCACTGCCAGTGGGAGTCACGACGACACGTCTAGTGTTGACGAGGACTCGAGTGACTCGTTCCCGCACTTACAAGTGAAGTGGCACGCGAGCCGCTTTGCCGGGCGGTTCGTAAAGCCAGTGGACTTTTTCTTTGTGGAATATGCGAATATCGAAGCCATGGCTGACGGCAGAAAGCGTGGGTATGGGTACATTCGGTCGGTGGAGTCATTTAAGGGAGACGAGTTGGCTATTCGACTAGCGGGCGAAGACGTGGCCATCCCTCCCAGTGTAGCCAAGTGCAAACGCGGCGTGATTAACAAAGGTGTCTATTTGGTTTCGCCCTCGGGAGATGCCTCAGGCACATACGAAGTCACGTGTATGATGGTGATCGACTTCCAGAAGCAGTTTGCCAGCTCGGTAGGAGCCAAGATCATCCACAACTTCACGGAACGACTCATAGGGATCCGCGAATTACTGTTTAATACGCTATTCCGTCCCATTGCAGTACTTCCGAAGAACCAGTGGAAGCCGGCACGTAGCAACAAATGCGCCATCTGCATGTGCTCGTTCTCGATCGTGAAATCCAAGCACCACTGTCGCTCCTGCGGTGAAGCGGTGTGTGGACAATGTAGTCGCAAGTGGACGTTGCAGCCTGGAGCTCAACCGGAGACACAGGCGAGACTCTGTACGAGCTGTTCGCTGCAAGCCAGAAGCTACCTCATGCCGAACGGAGACCCCAGTCGCTCACCGGCTGGCGCGTCCTCGCGCTTCTCGTCAGTGATCAACGACTTTAGTGTCAGTCAACTCGCTGGAAGCCGCTCTGCCGTGCCTCGCATGGCTAATGTGTACAAATGTGACGTCCAAGTTGCCAGTACCGTATCCCACGACCCCGACACGTTTGCTGCTGCCACATCAGCGTTTACGAAACTTGTGAGCGCTTTGGGTGACCAGAGTCCTCACTTTATGTTGGTTTCCTACTCACAACACCATAACGGTGCCGCGGTGTATGAAGCGCTTGCACGCGCAGCGCCCGACACGCTCTTTATGGGCGGAACTTCCAGTGGCGGTGTGTATGTAGGAGCAACGGCGTCTGCATTGGGGTGTAACAAGAGTGGAGGAAGCAATAGCAACTCGCGCCATCGCAGCAACACGGGATCGCAGGGCCCTACTGTCGGGTTGTGGGGGATCTACGACCCGGAAGGGTCTTATGCGATCTTGAATGCCGATCTGGATCGTGAACGTCCTCGTGACGCTGCGCGGAGATGTCTGATGGAGGGTATGAAGATGCTGGCGATCGAGCCAGAGGAGAGTCCGGACTTTGTGTGGACTGTCATGGGAGGTGGGGAAGACACGTATGACGTAGATGACCAGCGAGATGGAGAGGAAGAACAGATCACGCGAGCTGTGAACGAGATTGTGGACTGCTCGTACTCCGTTGTCGGCGGTAGCTCGTCTCGTCATGCACCAGGCAGTCGTGGATATGCCACGCAGTTGTGCTCCGAAGGAGGCGCCGTTGGCTGTGTGACCAAGCACGGCGCGTGCTTCGCTGTCTGCTGTCCGAGTGTGGAGGTTGCACACGCGCTATTCACATGCTACGACGCGACAGACAAGAGTTTTGTCGTGACGAAGGCAAGTGGTCGAGACTTGTTTGCACTGGACCACAAGCCTGCGTTGGAAGCGATTAACGAGGCAACGCACGGCATGTTGAAGGAGATGACGCAGCGACCGGAGAAATTCAACCTCGAGTCCAATTTGCTACCGGCGTACTACCCGATTGCACGGGAGCGACGTGGAGCTGTGCCTCGTGGCCTCAAGCGAATGAGTTCTCGCTACCAGATGCTGCAACCGGAGACGTCGGCAGGCGATCTTTCAATACATTTGGGCGCTGAGGTGCGTCTCGGCGAACGACTGCGCATGATGACGCTCTCTCCTCGAGGTGTGGCTTCCAAGACGCGTCGTGGACTGCGTGACGCTGTCCGGGTGTCTGTCCCCACAATGGATCTTCAAGATATCATTGGCTGTTTCCTCAGTGTTGGCATGAGCTACGACCGCGTGTTGCAGGGCGACCTGAATGCTGTGGCTGATGCAACGGGAAGTGCGTTCCCTCAAGGCGCCTCGTTGCTGTCTGTTTCTCATGGACAGCAAGGTGTGATGACCGGCGGTAACGAGGCTGTTCATGCCAACAGTATGTTCACAGCTTTGATCGTCACGAACCGCAAGAAGGCGCAGAAACTCAATCCTCTCCGGCCACTCAACATTCGAGTGGCTACGACCACCGCGTAAATTACCCAGCAAAAGTCAACTTCTCGTCCTATTGCCTACGAAGTAATCTATTAACCTAGAAGATTTTGGTGCTATTGAGAGCATCAAGAAGAAGCAATGTATAATGCGTACACAACACGGTGTTTCATCTAACGTACCAAACGTGTCGGCATTCCATTTGTCACCATTTACTAGGCTACTGGCACTCTACAAGTCGGCAACGTCACCCTCGTAACGCGCAACGGAGCGGTCAGAGAACTGCGGCTCCGCACGCACGATGAAGGCGCCACGGTGATCCGGGTTGGTGATGAACACGCACCCGGAGACGCCCATAGCAGCGGCCGCTTCACGCATAGCGTTGGCCACCTTGTTCTCCTGACGCTCAGCCAGTTGCTGCGTGAAGATGTCGCCAGCACGACCGCTAGTGATGGCCAGGACGGTGGGACCGGCGCCGCTCAGGAAGCAACCATGCGCACCAGCTCCCAGAGCCGCCTTCATGAGCGGGTCCAGGTGCGGGTATTGCGCGGCGCCACGTTGTGGCTGGTGGAGCATGTCTTGTGTGGCGTAACGCAGTTCGTCGAGGTTGCCGGAGCGGAACGCGTTGACAAAGATGGCGGCACGGCCGATGTTGAACACGGCGTCCTTACGGGGCACATCCGGTGGCAGGATGGCACGTGCCACGCTCGTAGGACCCGTCGAGTCGGGAATGAACACGACGCACTGCAGGCCGTCCGGGATCTGCACGCGCGAAGAGTACCAGCGGTCGTCAGCGAAGATACCGAGCTGCAGACCGCCGTAGATGGCGGGCGCGACGTTGTCAGGGTGTCCCTCGATCTCCGAGGCCAGCTGCAATAGTTCCTCACGACCATGAACAGGAAGACGCATGCCAGCAAGAGCAAGACCAGCTATAATTCCGCCTACAATGCCGGCTGAGCTGCTGCCCAGTCCGCGCGCGAACGGGATACGGTTCTTGCAGTGCACCTTGAGATGGCGTGGCAACTCCTCGCCCGCGGCCTTGAAGGCAGCCTTAATGCCGACGATCACGAGGTTGCTCTCGTCCGTGGGCAGCTCCTTGGCGCCTTCACCTTCGTTCGTCAGCGTAATACGGCGCACATTAGGCGCGTCACCCTCCTTCGGGGCCACAACTTCCACTGAGATCTCCGTCCAAATGTCCAGCGCCATGCCGATAGTATCAAAACCCGGTCCCATGTTAGCTGTTGTGGCCGGCACACGCACCACCACCGACGTAAGCTTACGGCGCTCCAGGTCAGTGGGCAGCGCCGCCGCCTTAGCCTGTGCCACCGCCTTAGCTCGGCGCTGAGCAGCCACGCGCTTTGCATCCTTACTACGCGAGCCGACGTAATAGGCCAGAGCCACGCCAGCAGCCGCTACCGCTACCTGCGTGGCCACGCGCTGCGTCGATGCGTCCGAGTTGCCGCCAGCCATGATCAAAGTGACGTACGAGGCGGTGCTTTTGAGTCTCTCGCGGAGCCTCGACAGCCGCAAGAAAATGCGGCTGTCGATTATTTTGTTTGTGTTTTTTTACATCAAATTAATGTCAATCACACAAATAGGCTCGGTGTGGCGTACATAACTTCAGTGTAAGATTGATGTACAGAAAATTACAGCACTTGGCAAGCGTCCATTGATCGACCTCGAAGGTGCGTTCTGATAGAGGGGAAGAGACCAGATACGATTTATCTGACTGCGCAACAGCGTAGACAAGCTCTCCTGTGGCTCTCGACAGTCCCCTCTTCTCTCAACCGCAAGGATCGCGAGCTGACAGTGTGCAATCTTCTCTGTGCGTGTAGCCATTAGATCGCGAAGCTCATGGACAGCAGCGACGACGACTTGATCCCCATCTCGGTACTACGCAAGAAGAGCAAACCGTCGACGCCCAATGGTCCGTCTCCCTCGGCCAGACGCAGTGCAGCACGCGTGAAGCAGCGTGTGATCGACTCGGATTCGGACTCGGACAGTATGCCGCTGGTACAGCTCAAGAAGAAAGCTGCAGCCAGCAAGAAGACAACAACCAAAAGCAGTAAAGCTAGTACAGACAAGAAGAAGGTGTCGGTTAAGAAAGAGACGGGTTTGAAGCGGAAGGCCTCAAGTTCCTCCGCCTCTTCTGCCTCCAAAAGCCGGAAGATTAAGGTCACGTCGTCGGCATCCAACGGCAAGGTCAAGGTGAAGAAGGAGCGGTCGGTTAATGTTCGTAAACTCAAGGTGCAGTCCAAGAGCGAGCGACTGGATATGGCCATCAAGGCCTTTCGCTGGTGGAACGCAGAGGAGTTGCCGGAAGGTATCCAATGGCGCACACTAGAGCACAACGGCGTCATGTTCCCTCCCCCCTACCAACCCCACCACGTACCTTTACTATACAATGGTCAGGAGATCGAACTGACTCCTAGTCAGGAAGAGGTGGCCAGTTTCTACGCTGCTATCCCTAAAGACGGCCCGCAACTAGGCAACCCGAAGACAGCCAAGATCTTCAACAAGAACTTCTTCACCGACTTTAAGAAGGTGCTGGGCAAACAACATGAAGTCAAGACCTTTGACGGCTGCGACTTTTCTCGAATTGCTGCTCATTTGGAGAAACTACGCGAGGAGAAGAAGAACATGACGAAGGAGGAGAAACTACCGGAGAAAGAGAAGCGTGAGATGGAGCTCTTCACCAATGGCTTTGCCTTTGTAGATGGTCATTTAGAGAAGGTTGGCAACTTCCGTATTGAGCCTCCTGGTCTCTTCCGGGGTCGTGGAGAACACCCAAAGACTGGTACCTTGAAGGAACGTGTAATGCCCGAAGATGTGACGGTCAATGTGGGTATTTCCGATCGTGTACCCATTTGCAATGTCCCGGGTCATGCTTGGAAGCAAGTGATCCATCGAGATACAGTGTCGTGGCTAGCATACTGGAACGAGAACGTGATGGGCGGCATCAAGTACGTGTTCTTTGCCGCTAGTTCGAGCTTTAAGGGCAAATCGGACTTGGCAAAGTACGAGAAGGCTCGACGACTGAAGAAATGCATTGACAAGATTCGTCGGGACTATACGAAGGGATTAAAGGCCAAGGATATGTTCACAAAGCAGCGGTCGACTGCTATGTGGGTCATCGACGTTCTGGCGCTGCGTGTGGGTAACGAGAAAGGCGAAGACGAGGCGGATACCGTCGGTTGTTGTAGTCTGCGTGTGGAGCACATGTCCTTCAATGACGAGAACTGTGCCGTCACGCTGTCGTTCTTGGGTAAGGACTCGATGCCGTACAATAACACGGTGGAGCTTGCGCAGTACGGAGACGTCGGCAAGCAAGTGTACCATAACTTACAGAAGTTCTGCACCAAGAAGGGCAAAAACGAGGAAGTTTTCCACGAGTTGTCGGTCACAGAACTGAACAAACACTTGAGCTCACTGATGCCTGGCCTCAGCGCCAAAGTGTTCCGTACGTTCAATGCGTCGTTTACGCTGGAGAAGGAGCTGCCTGGACCGTCAGGACAAGAGCTGGATCCACACGGCAAATTGGAAGTGGCGCCGAAGGTTGTGCTGTACAATGACGCCAACCGGAAGGTCGCTATCTTGTGTAATCACCAACGTACTGCGCCCAAGTCTTTCGACACGACGTTGGACAAGATGAATGCGCAACTGGGTCAGTTGAAAGACCAACTGAAGGATCTGAAGCAAATGCAGAAGCTCATTGCCGCAGGTAAAGGCAGCAGCGTCAAGCTGAAGAAGGAGAAGCCTGCGTCGGAGAAAGAGGAAGACGCGTTGGCGAAGAAAGCTCAAGCGCATCTGTTCCAACGGACGCCGTCGGCGGACCAAGTTGCCAAGAAGATTGAGAGCTGGAAGAAGAAGATCAAGGCGTTGTCTCTGCGTCTTCAGGACAAGACGGACAACAAGGAAGTGGCGCTCGGCACGTCCAAGCTTAACTACATGGACCCGCGCATCACCGTCGCTTGGTGCAAAAGGGTACGTTTTGATTATTTCTTTAAGTGTACTTCTTTTTTAACTGAGGATTTTTTAATTTTTTTCTTTCAGAATGAAGTGCCCATTTCGGCAGTATTCTCCAAGACATTGCGAGAGAAATTCGTGTGGGCCATGGACGTGGACCCCGACTGGAAGTTCTGACCGAGTCGACAAGCAGGGAATACTCCCAGCTTCAATGAAACATAAAAAAATGGGTTTCCATACAAATAGTACAGCAAAAAGCCTCGCGCTTTATTTCCTCCTTGCCTGTAATTGATGTATCGCGAAGCTTTTTTTTGGCATTAGGACTGTTTTCCACTTAGGATTGCGCTTTGATTTCTCCATCCTTGTGCTTTGCTTCCCACTCGTCGCAGCACTTTTTGAGCTTGTCCATCAGCTCGGTGTGTCCTCGACGCTCGGCAAAGTTCCACGCCTTGTTGCCAGTATGATCTTCAAGACACGGGTTCGCTCCTAAGCTCAACAACTTGGAGGCAGCGTCGTCGCGGCCGTGATGCGCAGCAGCCATCAAAGCCGACGAGTGATCCGACTCGACTCGCTGGAAATTTACGTCCATGCCGTTCTGGATTAGACTGAAGACCGAGTGAAAATCCTCTTGACGAAAGGCATGATAGATGGCTGCATCCATCACGGAGCCGAGCACTTGTACGTTGCGGTCTTTCACCGACAACGACTTAGCACCAATACCTGTTCCTGTAGTCTTCGTACCGCTGCTATCACTACCAGGTGACGAGGGCGTGACACTAATCGGCTCGCACTTGTCCTTCTGCCCACACTTGGCACAGAACTCACAATGCGTGCATCGCTTCGAGGCCATACGCTTGCACTTCCGACATGGCGATCGCTCTCCGTACTGCATGTCGTGTCCGTTCTTTCGGATTTTTTGCTCCAGAGATGCACTCAACGCTGCATGGTTCACATTAGTGATGACGCCTTCGTCAGCTAGCAGCATCTCTTCGTCATCATCTTCCACGTATTCCTCGAGATCATCCTGATCTAGATTATTAGAGCCATTATCTTTCTGCAGGAAAGACTTGGGTTGGTACTGCAACACCGAGGAAGGTGGAACTCGATGGCTACTCGGCGTGTTAGTGCTGGACAATGGCGTGGATGTCGATCCAGAAGAGGACCCCGAAGTGGGAGGCTTTCGAGGCGCTGAAGCACTAGTCGTCGACGTGGTAGAAGAGGACGTCGAAGACATGAAAGAGTGTTGTGGCGGGTTCTCACTAGGGGTTTTGGCGTTGCGAGAGCCATTGCCGTTGGCGTAGCTATTGGTGAAGCGTCGAGAGTCATTGCGGCCTTCTTTGACGGTTGAGGGCACTCCACATGAGCTCTCAAAGTGACGTCGATAAATGTTCAAACGACTCCATTCAGCTGCGTACTCTGTGTCCATTAACGAGATACTCGGTTAGCTAACGCGACAGTTAGAGGTGATAGATAATTGTACCTGGCCCAGCGTTGTCAAGTAGCTCAATAATCTTCGCGAACGTAGCTGTAAGATACGAGTTCTGCTTCCTCTGTGCATCAGTCTGCACATTCACATCCAGAATCTACAGGCGTAGAACACCAATGTGTTAGTTCACCACATACAAATACTCTCAATGAAAAAAATATCCTCTCACCCGCACTATGGCGCGCACTTGAGAGAACATCTCGGTGCGTTTCTTCTCTTTGGACAGACCCGTCTCGCGTCGAGTGACACCGTCCACCAGCCATGCATTCAGCACCTTTAGCCCACCTTCCGCGTAGAATCTGACTCCATAACAGCGTGTCATTGTGAGTCTCGACCCTAAATCATCAATGTTTCACGTTTAAACGCGTCGGTTGTCTCTTACACTTGAGCGTCCGCGTCGCTGAGCTGCGTGATCAGTAGCGCCAAGATCGCGCGGTGTGACAGCGTATGGATGGACGGCATGAGCTTGCAAAGCACCTGCGTACGCTCCGATCCCACGACCTCGCCCTCGTCGTTCATGATGAAGCCCAACACGCTCACGACGCTCATGGCGGCGGCATCCTCCCAGATGCGCGTGCGCATGATGGATAGTAAATCAAAGTCTCAATTGCAAATGTAAAACAAATTGGCGCCAGATTAAATTCCGCCAATTAATTGTCAGATTTGCGATAAGTAAACTGTATCTTGATGGACACGTCGGCGTTGCGCGAGTTTGCCTTCAAGAAGCTGCAAGAGGCCAGAGATCGTGGCACGGAGCTGGCGGCCGTGACGGCTGCGCGTGCAGCCTCGTCCATTTCCAGCTCTGTACCGGTGTCGTCGTCCTTCGTGTTCCGTGCTCAGAGCTCGGTGGGGCAGCAGCAGGAGCTGCCCGTGCCGCTGGAAAAGAAGCTTGAGACGCTTAGTGAGTTACCTACCGATAGTAGGGTGCTCCGTGGAGCTGATGCTGTTGTGTATTACGTTTCCATTGTGATAGAAACGTCAAATGACTCGCTGCGCGCGACGTTGACGGGCACCTCAAACGGGTCGCTGGACGAGAGCATCTATAAGCTGGACCTTATCAACGAGTCGCTAGCGTTTTCAATCGAAAACATTCAGGAGGGCTCTCATGTGATGAAGCTGCTGAACCGCCAGCTGAAGGACAGTGCCGCTATGCAGAACCCGAAGCACAAAGCATTCTATCAGTGTAGTGAACAGAGAATAGGACCTCGAAATTAAGGTAGCTCAGGTGATACAGTATCCCGAATAGTGAAACCCTGTGGACGCCATGTAATACATTTACAATGCTTCACTATGGTATGAGAGACCTTATGTAAGGTGGCCTTCTATTTACTGTGACTTGACCTTTATTTTATGCATGCAGGCACTTGAAAATGTCGAGTACCTTTCTATAAGTAAGTATCCAAGACCCATTTTTGGGTCGGTGGCTCGGTATACGTAGTAGATTTTGAAGCTTGTAGCTGCATGTCAAATACACTGTTGTCGGTTTGCCAGAAATTTAGCTGCTTGGGGTCGCTTTTTGTGGAGCATCTTCGCTTGGGCTGAAAGAGTGTGTTATGTGAAAAGTAGAATTGTCGTCACTTGCTGTTGTACGAGCTTCTAGCGAGATTAGGATAAAATGGCTCACTGTTAGACGTTTTATTTTTACTCTTTGCAAGGTGGTCTAATGTCGTATACCTCCTCTTCCTTCGAGGGTCGGGTAGTCCGCGGCTATTCAGGGAGTACGGTCTTGTTCAGTGGCTGCAGGAACGGTAGATAGGAACACTAGAGAGTTGAAAATAAAAGTTTGTTGATTGGCTTGGCTTCCTCTTGAGTAGAAGGAGGGAAATATAAGACTGAGAGCTAACCGGAAGAGAGGCCTAACACCTTCTCGACCTTACATAAACTACACTACATAAAAAAGGAAGGATTCACTTCGTTTGTTGTCGGCCTTCGTGGGACAACGGAGAGCCTCTGGGAAAGGGCTTGATGTCGCGAGGTGCTTTTGGTCCCCCGACGCCAAGACTCCGGCGTTCAGGGGTCCCCTTATAGTACCACCCTAACGGGCTCGGTCAAGGGTACGTGCGAGGTTGAGTTCAACGGGAACCACCCTGACGGGACGGCGGGGCGAGGAGTGATTCCAGGGTCTCGGGTCATCCCGACGGGAGGCAGAGCTCCTGGAATGACCCCTCCGTTCCCGGGTACGGGACATCCTCCCCGACTTGTCGTTCGTCGTCCTCGGCGAACGGTTCCTCTGCGTACATCTCTCACGTTAGTACTATAGACTCCGTCGTTAGCAACTTCTTCAGACAGGGGAGGTTGGAACGCTTCGTGGTAGTCCTCGGAGCGGTCCTCAACGTAGTTAGGGTCGGCGGCTTGAAAGTCATATAGCACCTCGACATCGTCGTCGACCCGCAGACGTTCGATGTTCCGAGCCTCGGCCATACTACGTTGAGAAGCGTTGCGGCGGGTACTCGTCAATGCTAGTTCGACCAGTACCTTAGGGGAGACAGATCGGAGGGGGCTCCCCTCGTCGTATTGACGACAAGCGTGTGATACCACACCAGCGACCACCACGACAAGAGTGTCGGCGAGACTCCAGCCGGTCCACTCGAGGCAGTAGTTGGTAGCTAGTAGGAGCAATAGTACAGTCCCAACACCCACTGGTCCCAGGAGTACGAACTCCACCAGATCGAAGGCGTTGACCGGGATGTACAGCAGTAGAGACAGGCATAGTAGTACTATCCAGCAGGTGGCTTCTCCCACCGCGTACAGGCGCATCCACGTGGCCTTGAGAGCGTCCCAGAAAGCGTACCAATAGCGTATGCTCGAATCTCTTGTATGGAGGAGGACTTCGGGGATGTAGTCGGAGAATGTCACCTTGCAGGCGATCCACCAACTCCGCAACATCCGTCCATAACGACCATACTTCTCTTCTCCTTTGAGTAGAACAATAGGGGGCACAGCAAATAGCGCGCTCCACACTCCATACGCGTAGGTAGCTCCCCGACGTTGACGAAGTTCGTTTGCCTGAAGTACGTCTCTGTATAACGACGCACAGTCGCCCCAAATATCGCAGTTCAACTTGATCACACGCCACACTTGAATCAAGAACTCCCAGGTAACGTTACGTAGAGGAGTCGTTAGGACCCAGACCGTTACAGCCCCTACGTACACGGGCCACAGCTCCCAGAGGGCGTACTCGTAGAAGACACTAGTATGGGGCTCCATTTAGACGGGAGTACACTCGGCAAATAAGAAACTGAGTACTCCCCTGGCGACCCTTCTCGACGTCATTCGACCTCCATCCTTCTTAGTCGCCACCCATCTGTCAAGTCCAGTAGCTGGGAAAGGAGAACTCCGATTCCTCGCCCTTTTCAGGAGTCTCTCTTGCACCCACTATACAGTTATCACAGGAACCTCGAGAGAGACAGGGCCGGAGGTCCAGGCACCGACGGGCAGTTTTCCTGCTCATTTGGCAAATTTGCCTCGACTTCCGACACACCCTCGGCGCCCTCTCTTTTCACCACCCCAGTATGGGCACCTCGCGCGGAACAGCCACGCGTCGTCTCAAGGCCGTCTGGAACGTGGAGTCTTCGGACTCCGACGGCTCCTCTTCAGATGACACTCCGGCCGACGAGCGCTTCTAGATCCTCATGCGAGACGTCCTGGCCGCAAACGCTAGCTCCATCGGCCTCGAGCTTCTGGACGACGTCGCCGCCGCGATCTTGGACGACACGGGGAAGGCTTCGGACGCTCTGACGGGGCCGGTAGTTATCATGCCCAGGCCGCCTCGGCAACCGACTCGCGGGAAGCCGCCTCGGCACCCCCGCTTCACGCAAGATGGTCGCTTTCCGGTCAAGAGTGTCAGCACTGGCTCGACTAAGAAGAAGACGATCACGGAGAGTCCTCGATCCGGCAAGAAGCGTCCGAGTCACCCGTGGTCTTCGTTCGCGTTACCCTTCAATTTATCCGACACGACTCCTTCTCCCGTGGTCGATGATCTGAAACGGGTTTATTACGTTGCGGCCGAGTTAGGTCAGGAACCGTACCAGCTGGCGTATCCGTGGCCGGGCTCGCACTTGTGGTACAACCCGCAAGAGTACCCGCATGTGCACGCTTCTAACTGGCGCTTCTGGAACGAGAACCGTTCCAAGTTCTGGGATTGGCAGGCGAACGTCCCGTTGAGGACCTCCAACGCGCAGACCCAGCGGCGCAAGGCTAAGATGGCGGCATTAGTCGCACGCGTCTGGTTCCTGAGCATTTGTATCGAGACCTGGGGCTACTTCGGCTTCCTTCGTCTATTCGAGAGCTGCGCGCACCGTCGTCGCCTTATGTGGATGGGAGGACAGCCTGGTCGGAACGCCCCAGACGCCAAGTCCTACAATGGCCCCGTCATCGACAACTTGTCTAAGCTGTACTCGCGCGACTCAGAAGCGTACTCACGAAAAGTGAAGAACGCTCTCAAGCCGTTCCGGATCGACGAGGGAGGTTTCACGACCATCCCGGAGTTGTTGGAGCATACCGGAGCCCTGGACCCAAATAGCTCGAAGCCCGACAGTCAGCTCACGGATCGGGCGTTGGCCCTCGTTCTGCTGGACATTAAGTCGAAGGAGGATCATGAACCTCATTGGGTAGGGGATCGTTCGAAGGGGGTCTGGTATGCGCTTAGTCACTGCTCGCGTCTTCAGAAGATGACGGCCAAACTTTCGCGCGAACGGGAGAAAGGAGCTCTTCGAACACCCAAGGTAACCCCTTTAGATGCGTCTGAAGCTGACTCGGCGGGATACGCGGCGTATGAGCGTACGGACGGCACTTACACGGCGATTTGGGAGGAAGCGAGTGAGGAAGAGTCGGCTTACGAGGAGGATGAAGCCGAGAGCGACTCTGAAGAGCTCCGCCCCGTTAAGAAGACGCTGCGCCTTTCTTCTATTTCCGACGAGAGTTCGGAGGACGACGAGCCTCCCAACAAGCGTCTACAGCTCTCTCACAAGTCTCGGAGGGCGAAAGAGCGCGCGAAGCGTTCCCGTTCCCCGTCTCGCAGTTCTACCTCCCTGAAGAAGCCTCGGTTAAGTTCGTCGCGCAAGCGGTCCTCTTCATCTTCACGCGCTAAAGGCAAACTCAAAGCGCGCGCTGCTTCGCTAGAACGTTCTGTTTCTCCTGTACGGTCACGATCTAAGTCCCCAGTGCGCAAGAAGTCCCGTCGGTCACGTTCTGAGGAGCGTCCTGCGTCTCGGTCGAAGTCTCCGACGAAGTCCTCAACCATCAAGACGAGTAGGGAGTCCCGGTGGGACAAAGCAAGATCACCTTCGCACTCGAAGGGGAGTAAAGTCACCCCCGACAAACCGACCGACGGCAAAACGCCGACTCCTCCGTCAGCTCCAGCGTCGCGGGACGGTACGCGTAAGCGGTCGCGTTCGGTGTCTTCCTTGAAGAAGGCAGTGCCCCCTAAGGGACGCTCGGCCTCGCGGTCCCCGTCAGCACCTCGGAAGTCGAGTTCGCCGGGTGATCATTCAGCTCCTAGTTCGCCGGCTAAAAAGTCCGACAAAACAGTCTAACGAGAGGCCGTCGAGAAGTTATTGATTCGTACCATTCCAGAACCGTTCCTCACTGGATGAGAGTAAGAGTAATGGCATCGTCTTCCTTTTTAAGTTTCTTTTTGTTTTTCACCACGATTCGTCCCCACTTGTTGTTTTCGTTTCTTTTTCTTGAGATCGCGGTAAAGATTGTTTTTCTTTTTGGTATGTAGGAGATCAGCCACTTGTGAAGTAGAATCCAAAAATATACAAAGTCGTAAGAAGTGTTCTTCAAGACACTTTCGAGGGAGGCGGGGTCGTGAGTTTATTCTGGCTCATTGGATCGACCCGCCACGATTCCCCCTCCCTAGAAGAGTAGCTCTTCTTCGTCAACGGCGGCGTTAGCGTCTTCCAACCGCGCGCTGCGACGTAGTTCTGGTAGGTCTCCCTCCCGACGACGGGTTTCTTCGAACGCCTTGATCAGAGCAGCGTAGGTGGGCAATAGTGTGTTTCGTGGTCTCCAAAGAGTCTCGTAGGTAGCTAACAACACCAGGAACTGCTCTTCACGGTTCTTTTTGCGTCGGGCGATTATGTCGATCACAGAGCAAGGAACTCCGGTCAGGGCCGTCTCTTCCCCTCCAATCAGGAGTCTCTCTACGAAGCTAGTAGAGGGGAGGTCCTCTTCTGATAGAGGTCCGTCGTCGTCTACACCCGGACTCGACT